GGACTTGCCAGACTGGAGATGTAGTTCATTGGCAGAGTACTTACCTGCCACGCACAAGAGCCTGGATTTGAAGTGGGATTTGCCAGGAAGAATGACATCTGACTCCTATTTGACCCAGCATGTGACCTCATGTCCTCTCTGCAGCCTGCCCTGCATGGCTTGCCTGCAGTGCTGACACCTGGGCTGTCTGACACCGGGCCACAGGTGGTAGCGGTGCTACAGTTGTATCTGATCCTCACATTGGCATCTTCCTAGATCTCTAAAATCAAGATTTCCAGTCTCTGAGATAGGCTCTTGCTAGGTAACCCAGCCTAGCTGAACTCTGCATCTTCCTGCCTTGTCTTCCTAAGTACTGGGAATACGGGTGTGCACCATGTGTCCAGGCATGGAGATAGTTTTTCCTGCTGCTGCTCCTGTACCTTCTGTGTTTCTCTGTGGATCGTGCAGTGGGCAGCAGTCTTCTTACCTCTCCTGATGCCAAAGGGCGTGGTACACTTCTGGAAAACACAGAGTGCTCGGCTTTGCCTGTCTTTATTTTTCCACTCAGATGATGAGGCAGAAGTTGCAGGTGTAAAGTTCCTTTTCAGGGTTCCTTTCACCTCTGTCCTGGACTGGGATAGAGCACAGGAACAGAGAGGGACGCTTCCAGCCCAAGACTTTAATAGCCTGGAGATAAGCTAGATCTGTTTTTTGTTGTTATGGTTTATTGTTTTTGTAACCAACTGAAGGGGTGTCACCAATCTGTCTCCTGGGGTGTATGACTGAGGTTAGCTCTGCAGTGTGGCACCTCAGGAAGGGAGGTGCCAGCAGGTCAGATTGCAAGGACCCTGCGCATAGTCTCTGCTGATGATAGGGGGAGACTCCCCCGCTTTTCCCAGTTCGCTCCAGGGGTGATGTTTCCCCAGCTCACGGAGCTGCTAACTGTTCACCTTTCCCTTTCAGAACTCCATTCGTCACAACCTTTCTCTCCATGACATGTTTGTGCGGGAGACGTCTGCCAATGGCAAGGTCTCTTTCTGGACCATTCACCCAAGTGCCAATCGCTACTTGACATTGGACCAAGTGTTTAAGGTAATTGCCCCTGTTTGAGCTAGAGAGCCAGAGTTGTTGGTTATAGAGCCTCTGGAAAGGAGCAGTGTTCCTCCTGACGTTCTCTGACTGAGAGAGCTAGAACCAGTCAGTTAATGGCTTGCATAGTGCCCTGACCTCAGGTGACAGATACCAAATAACACTCCTTTGCATTAGACCAGAGCTCAAAGAGAACTATTCTGGTCCAAAATTGAGAAATCTTTTTCTAACTTCCTCTGTAAGTAGACCGTTGTTACTACGGCTTCCAGGTCTCTAATATGGGGTTCTGGAGAATGAATCTGGGATAGGCCTAGTAATGGCATGGCGTGGGGGGAGCTGGCGTGGGGGGAGCATCTTTCTGTCCGTGCACATGCCATGTGCCAGAGGAGGACCCTGGGTGTCCTGTTCTGTCACTTTCGTTTCCTTGGGATGAGGTCTCTCATTGAAACTGGAACTACGTTGATTGTCGGCAGACCCCTGAATCCGCCTGTCTCCACCCCCACCTCATAGTACTGGGGTATAAGCACTTGTATGGCCAGCCCTGACTTTATTTTTCAATGCAGGGCTGGGATCTGAACTCGGATCCTTATGCTTATACAGCAGTCTGTCTTACCCACTCAGCCATCTTTCCAGCCCTATAATTTGTATTTTCAGTCTTGCTCCAAAGAAACCTTTTTTTAAGTCTAGAGACCAGAAATGGAGCCACAAGAACACGTTTTCAGGAAAAAAGTTGTTTTGGGAATTTCTAGTACCCATAAAGATGCTGTTGCTGTGCTGTTCTTCTGGAAGGGACCATTATCCATGGTGTCTCTTGGCACCCATCAAATAGGTTTCTTCCTAGTCTGGGTAGATTGACCACATTAGTGGTAACTTCATCTCATTTCTCTCCCTCGATGCCTGGCCGCCACCCAGCCACTGGAACCAGGGTCTCCACAATCGCCTGAGAACTTGGAATCAGTAAGATTCTTTTCCTCTGGCTCGGGGCTTGGCCTTATTTTCCTTCACTGCTCAGCATGGCTTTAGTGGGCAGAGAAGCTGTGATGTGGGGAGGGGACTGTGTTTGGCCCCGTGGCTGCTAGCCCTAAACACAGCATCACAAAGGTGTGCTGAGCAGAGCAAACTGGGCACTGCAGGACCTGCCACTGCAAGGACAAGTGCGTGGCATGGGCCTCGCAGGCAGCAGCATCAGTCTGTTTTCTCAGCCTGCCTTTCCTTTGTCTCTCCGGTAGCTGTTGCGTTCCCTGTGGGTGGTGAGGATCATGGTGTCGCATTGTCCTGTCCTCTCCTATCATATGTCTGTTTCTGGCCATTTTTCCCCCAGCATGGCTTGACAGATTGTACTTACCTGCATCCATCGTTCAAACTAGCTTTTTCTAGTCTTTGGGTTGTTGGTTAGGCCAATTGCATCAGCTCAAGTTATTGGGGTTCTGCTCTCTCCCCTCACCTTACTAGCTCTGGTTTCTTTCTCCTCCCAAAAGCAGCAGCAGAAACGACCCAATCCTGAGCTCCGTAGAAATGTGACCGTCAAAACTGAACTCCCGCTGGGCGCACGTGAGTATGGGAGTGAGCCTCAGACCTGCCTGATCTGGTTCTGGGGCCTAGCTTCAGCTTCTCTCTCCAACTTAAAGGATCCCAGCGCACAGTTAAGCAGGGCTCCTGGAGTGGGAAGTAGCGAACCCTCTGATCTCTCCTGCTTCCTCCTAGGGCGGAAGATGAAGCCTCTGCTCCCACGGGTCAGCTCATACCTGGTGCCCATCCAGTTCCCAGTGAACCAGTCTCTGGTGTTACAGCCCTCGGTAAAGATGCCATTGCCTCTGGCAGCTTCACTTAGGAGCTCAGAGCTCGCTCGTCATAGCAAGCGAGTCCGAATTGCACCCAAGGTACTGCTAGCCAATGAAGGGATCGCCCCACTTCCTGCTGCCGGACCAGTGAAGGAGGAGAAATCCCTGCTTGAAGAAGGGCTATTGCCTTTGCTTCCTATTCAGTCCATTAAGGAGGAAGAAATCCAGCCTGGGGAGGACTTGACACCCTTCGAGAGGCCTGTCAAAGTGGAGAGCCCTCCCTTGGAAGAGTGGCCCTCTCCGTGTGCGTCACTGAAAGAGGAACTGTCCAATTCCTGGGAAGATTCTTCCTGCTCTCCTACCCCAAAGCCCAAGAAGTCCTATTGTGGTCGCCAGTCCCCAGCCCGGTGTGTCTCGGAAATGCTGGTGACCAAGCGAAGAGAGAAGAGGGAGGTGAGCCGCTCTCGGAGGAAACAACGCCTCCGGCCACCCTGTCTGGATGAGCCGGAACTGCTTTTCTCAGAGGACCCCAGCACATTACAGCCGGCCATGGAGCCCCTACTCCTGGCGGAGTCGTCAGAGCCTGCGTCCCAGCTCGACTGCCCTCAAGAGGAGGGGGTGCCTTTCAAGACCCCCGTCAAGGAGACATTGCCCATCTCCTCCACTCCTAGCAAGTCTGTGCTCTCCAGAACCCCTGAGTCCTGGAGGCTTACACCCCCAGCCAAAGTTGGGGGGTTAGATTTCAGCCCAGTACGAACCCCCCAGGGCGCCTTTGGCCCCTTGCCTGACTCCCTGGGGCTGATGGAGCTGAATACCACACCTCTGAAAAGTGTTCCCCTTTTTGACTCACCCCGGGAGCTCCTCAACTCAGAACCCTTTGACCTTGCCTCTGACCTTGCCTCTGACCCCTTCAGCAGCTCTCCACCTCCACATCTTGAGGTCCCCAAGCCAGACTCCCCCGAGCCACAGGTCCCCAGCCTTTCAGCCAACCGTTCTCTCACAGAAGGCCTGGTCTTAGACACAATGAACGACAGCCTCAGCAAGATCCTTCTAGACATCAGCTTCCCTGGCCTGGAAGAGGACCCTCTAGGCCCCGACAACATCAACTGGGCTCAGTTCATCCCTGAGCTGCGATAGAGCCAAGGCCTTGTCCTTGCTACTCAAGCTGCTCACTATCCTGGCACTTGTGTGACTGGGTAGTACAAGGCTCAGTGTACCCCAAGCCCTCTGAGGGAAGCTGCCATGCAAGGACTGAGCTGTGCCCTTTACCTAATTATGCCAAGAGATAGTCACATCGAAGCCACTGCTGGGACCTGTGCATGCAGCAGGGTCTCCAGAGAGTCTGAGTCCTCCACTGTCTCTGCTGGTACCCGCAGGGTGGGCGTTGACAAAAGCAGTGGCGATCAGGAAGTGCCCCATAGTCACCTGCTGCTCCTGGCAGGATAACCCTTGTAAATGGTGTACGTCCCCCAAATTGCCCTCTAATTATAACTGTGAGCTTATTTTCTTAGATCATTATCTAGAGACTGCCAGGAGTCGGTGGGGTGACAAGGGCTGCACTTGGCTTCTGCTTGCAGCCTTTGGGGGAAGGACCTGCGGTGCAGTTTCTTCCACACTTGTGGGTTCTCTATGCATCTAGACATACAGGTTGGCTTGCCAGGATCCCGCTTACTGCCCTTTCCTGACACCCCCATGTTTCCAAACCAGTGGTCCTGGTAGAAAAGCCTGTTGGGTTTGGGTGTGAGGGATGGGTGCTCACATGAGTCCTGTTAGGTGGTTCTCTGATAGTGTTCCTGATCATGCCGGGAAGCCAGCATTGAGAGCTCAGACCGAGGCCTGAGAAGGAGGAAGTGACCCCTGACCTGCCTGGCTTCCTTAGCTTGCACCTGAGCTTCGCAAAGAGCCACCCTAGGCTCCAATACACAAGCCAGCACAAGAACACTACTGTAACTACCTACTGAATAAAACCCAGGGTGGCACTGCTGGTCTCGAGGACTTGAATGAGGGGCAGTGGTGGAGACTGGAGATGATGGCCGGGGCCTTTCACAGATGTTCCTCCCACACCCTTTTCTGACTCAGAAATTGCCGGTTTTGTCTGATGTGGTTCATAGCTATAATCTCAGTCCTTGAGGTAGAGAGGTAGGAGGATCCGCCAGTCCAGCTACATGAGATTCTGGCTCTACAAAGTCCTGCCCACCTCTTCCTGCCACCTTGTTCCATGGCCCAAACTCTGACCTGGGCTCCTCAAAGTAACACAGCACCTGTAGGCCTCAATTCCCCTCCCAAGCCATTCAACATTCAGGCCAGAAAGCTGGGCCCTTTGCAGGGGTCTCTTTACTTCTATCCCAGCCCCAAGCCTGAGAGCCTGCGTACTTTCTCCTCCCCAAACCTCCCAGACATGGTCCTCCTGGAAGCAGCTCCTGTTACCACATCTTGTAACCAGAACTGACAGCACTGCCCCCTCCCTACCTCACCAGGAAGGCATCAGGGACTGAAGAGCCTCCCAGGACAGGCAGTCTCCTCCCAGCAGCACTAGTCAGGAAGCATCACCATAGCAACCCTAGCAGCAAACAATGGTACCAGAGAGGGCTTTTCCCCAAAGCCTCCCCTCCTGGCTCTGGCTCAGGGGAAGAATGGCCAGCAGCTGGGGAAGATCCCTCCAAACGCCAGGCATGGACGGTGTGCCTCATGTCAGGGAGCCTTTCCTGCAGGTAGAGTGGGGCCGCCTCTGCAGCCGCCCTTTCATGTGTCCTGAGCAACAGGCTTCTGGTACACAAATTCTTCTGCCTTCATCCTATGATATGCTAAGTTTGGAGCATGGGGAGGAGGAGGAGCCTGGCTAGCACGGGTGGATGGGGCCTTATCTAAAGCACTTGAAACCAGAGATACTGTTAGCTTTGGGATTTTTGGGTTTTGGAGTGTTTGTGTGTCATAAACAGACCCAGAACTGCCCATAACATTCTCTGTTTCATATGTATCTTATACCCAGCCTGAATGTGACTTAACGCATGCAGTATTTTTAGGATGTTTGCTATTTGACCGATTGCAAAGGTCAAATGTGGAATTTTCTACTTGTGACACCATGCCTTTGCCCAGGGAAAAAAATCAGATTTTTCGGCATTTGGGATCTCTCATCTTCAGATTTCAGGGGGTCTGTTTTTGTTTTCTCGAGGCAGTCTTGCTTGTAGTCCTGGCTAGCCTGATACTGTCGGCCTACAATAGTCCTGTCTCAGCCTTCCAAGGGCTGGTATTATAGATATTTGCCATTTGGGCCAAGTTTTGGACTTGTTTGAACCTCCCTGTATAGTCCTGGTTGAAGTTCACGCCTAGGCCAGGTTTTTGTCAGATCTGTGAAATCTGCCTCTACCTCCTAACAAGTTATTACCATGTATTGCCATGCTTGGGATCGACGAGGGAAGTTTGTGTTCGCTCTCAGGCCATGCCTCTGAGGTGCTGTTGCAGAAAAGACTTGAGAGTTAGGTCCAGTGAGGCACGCCTGTAATGTTAGTACTCAGTGGCTTGGTCCACCAAGGCTACACACAAGATCTTATCTCACAAAATCAAAAGGAAGGAGGAAATAAACCTGCGAGCAAGCCAACAAGATGGTTCATGTAGTCAGGACGCTGGCTGCTCTGCCTGACACCCTGAGCTCCATCCCTAGAGCCCACGTGGTGGAAGGAGAAGATGGACTCCCCCAAGCTGCCCTCAGACCTTCGCACGCTGTGACACGCATGTGTGTGCACATGCACTAGGTTTTAATGTTAAGGAAATGTGTGTAGGGGACGATGCTGAAGAAACTGGTGGGGTTTTGGAGTGGGTGAGAGGGAAGGACGATTGAGGGACTCTTCTGCCCTGCTCAGACTATGAACAGGCTGTCATGCTTCACACAGCCAAGTCTGCTGAGGTTGAACACAGCTTAAACCTGAACTCTGCCACTTAGTTGAGGCCTCCTGTGAATTCCTTGCTGTAACAGGGTCTTTACATCTGAAATAGGGGCTTTGTTGCCAATTTTGTTAGTTTTCTACTGCGGTGACAGAGTGCTAGTGATAACTGGAGAGGGAAGGCTCACTGGGGCTCATAGAGGCTTCCTTCAGTGTGCGGCCATTTGGCCTTGCTGCCCTAGACCTGTGAGCCAACTCATGGAGGGAGAACATGGCAAAGCAGGTGCTCACCTCATGGGCACCCAGAAGCAAAGAGGCAGGAAGGGCCCTGGATCCCACTGTCTCCCTTAAGGCATGCTGCCACTAGGTCCCCCCACCTGAGATTTTCCCAATCAGTCCTCAGACTGGAACCAAGTCATTTAGACCTGCCTTTGAGGGACACTCAGACAAACCATAGCAGAACTGGTTATTTTCTCATGGAGTTTTAGGAAAGGAAGGGGCACCATGTTTTGTGGTAGACAGAAAAGGAAAGAATATTCTAGATGCTTTCTAGCCCAGCTGATCTTTCAATGAGAAATGAGGGAAAAGTGCCAATGGCAACAGGTAAGAAGACTGGGATGGAAAGCTACCTGGCCGTCCTTTAGGGAGACTTCCTAGGGTGTGACCAGGAACAAGGGAAAGTATGTTGCTAGAGTGGCTGGAATGGATCCTCCCCCTAGGCCTGGTGTGTCTACAGGGACACGTATGAGGACGTCAGAACGCAGAGTAGTGAAGGAAGTGCTGAGGCCAATGAGATAACTCAGGGGTAAGGCATTTGCACCAAGCCTGATACCTGAGTTCCTTAGAACCCGTAGTGGAAGGACAGAATTGACTTCTGTAAGTTGTCCTCTGGTTTCCTCTCTCACGCCATAACACACACTAAATAAATAAAACTTCAAGTGTAAGTAGGACCTGGAGATGCTCAGCGTTTAAGAGCCAGGCTCCCAGCACCTACATGGTGGCTCACACCATCTCTAACTCCAGCCCAGAGCGTCCGATGTCCTCTCCTGGCCTCCTTTGGCACCAGGCATGTATGTCGTGCACAAATATACACATGAATTTTTAAAAAGATAAAAATTTTAAACCCAAGATGCAATTATATATAATTTTTAAAGAGCAGAAGTTGAGAGAGTGGGAAATCAAAGCCAAAATTAATAACTAGAAAAACAATGAGATTTGATAAGTCTATGGAAATGATACGGAGAATATTTGGATTGGGGCAATTACTAGTCTCATTAAAGCAAAATACCTGACAAGCAAAATTAAGGGCCCTATAGTCGATCATGGTCGGAGTTTGTCGGCAGTCAGGAAGGTAAATGCTGGTGCTCAGCTTTCTTCTGCATGGTGGCATCAGAGTTAATGCGGCTCATTCCACCTCAGTTAATCTACTCTAGACAGTCCCCTTTGAGCGTGCCAGAGACTTGCATCCTATATGATTCTCTATCCTGTCAAGCTGCCAATGTTAAGAGAGCTAGCTCAGTTTGTGAAGCGCTTGCTATACAAGTATTATGACCAGAGTTCAATCACAAGAACTTGTGTAAAACTTTTTGCAGGGAACTAGAGAAATTGCTCGGTGATTAAGAGCATTTGCTGCTCTTGCAGAGGACCTGGGTTAGATTCCCAACACCTACACGGCAGCTCATAACCATCTTTAATTCTGTTGGGTCCCCCAGTCTGCCCTCCAAGATTAACAAGCACACACATGGCACACACACATTCTTGCAGGCAAAACACTCATAAAATAAAAATAAATCCTTTTCAGGTAATAAAGTTTTAAGTGGTAACACTTAATAATCCCAGGGCTGGGGGTTGGGGTGGGGAGAGGTGGACTCTTGAGACTTAATGGCTGATTGCCAGTCTGTAGCCAGACCAATATAATTCCTAGACCAGTGAGAGATACCCTGTCTCAAAAAAAAAAAAAAAAAAAAACAAGATGAGCAATATCCAAGATTCTCTCCTGACTTACACACACATAAACACATGCACCCGCAGAAATGGTCTTATGCACACGTATGTATACACACCTGATGACAGCAGGAATGGAAAGACACCTTTTTGTGGAGGTCATCTGCGTCCTGATGAGTCCTGGATTGGAGGCTGGCAGCTTGTGCCTGGGAAGGAGAGCAGGGCACTTCTTGCAGCATCCTGCTCTGCGGGCATAGCCCTTCTAGGCTCTCTTTTGTGTCTCCCTAGATGGTCCATGCCAGAGAATCCTTCCCCACCGACCAGACTTGGACTCAGCGTGAGTTCCTCCTCCCCAGAGAGGCCAGAGACTTGCCAGGCTTCACCCAGCGACCCTACCACAAGCTGGCCTTGAAGCAGCCACCATACACAGAGATGAAGTCTAAGGTTCATCACCAGGCACGCTATCCTTGGAAGGATGAAACCAAGCACACCTGGGGCTTCCACACATGGCTCGATGTGGGGCGTCTGCCTGCCACCTTCCCCACCAGGCCAGACATACCCTATGACAGTAATGTCTGGCGCTGGTTGACCCATTCCAATGGCCACCGTCTCCCTGCTGCACAACCTGCCATTCCTCCGCCCTCCTGGCTGGGCCCACACAGCTTCCTGACCTTCATCAGCGCTACCCCCATCTTCACAGACGTGAACAGGAAGAACCAAGTGATTGTGAGGACCCTGAGAGAACTGAAGGAGGTGGAGAAACTCAAGCTGAGGAGCGAACTGAGGGCCCCTCCACTCGATGCCCACGGCAATATTCTTCCCCCACCAAACTTCAAGAAGTAAGCTCACCCCTTCCCAGGCAGTGATCCTGCCCATGTTCATGTGCCCCCTCCCACGGCTTCCCAGTCCTGTTTTGGTATCTAATTTGCATCTCCAACTTTCCCACTCATGGTCATCTGAGACGTTTTCTTCTGTGCAGTTGGAACCCACAGCCTTGCAAACACCACGCAAGGGTTCTGCCGTGGAGCCACACCCCCAACTGCTTCCTGAAAGTAGCTGGCCAGATGGAGGGGTGGGGATAACGGGGAAAGGCACTTGGTTATCTAACTAAAAATGGAGAGAGGGTACTGTGAATTTAACTCCTGCTTGGCCTAGGGATACTGAGAAATGTAATTCGGTCCCTGGCTTTAAGAGATAAAAGAGACACCTACCTCAGCCACACTCTGCCTGCAAAACACCCACAGGGTGTGTGTGAGAGAGAGATGGTGGGTGTCATTATTATATTTATTTTCTTCTATTGAGGCAGGATCTCACTATATTGTCCAGGCTGGCCTTGACTGGCAATTCTCCAGTCTGTCTCTTGAGTGCTAGGATTACATATGCATGCCATCATGCCTGGCTGTCATTTTTTTCTTTTTAAGGTTTTTTAAAAAATTATGTGTATTAATGTTTTGCCTGAATGTATGTCTGTACACCACAAGTATGCCTGGTGCCTAAGGAAGCCAGAAAAGGTGGTCGAGTTCCCTGGAACTAGAGTTACAGACAGTTGAGAGTGGCCCATGTAAGTGCTGGGAATTTGGGTCCACTGGGAAAGCACCCAGTATGCTTCACCACTGAGACATCTCCAGGCCTTCCCTCTTTCTTCTTTCTCTTCCTTTCTCCCTTCCTTCCTTCCTTCCTTCCTTCCTTCTATCCTTCCTTTCCTTTTTTTTAAAACAAGGAGAATATAGAATATATTACCTGCCCGATGCACAAGAGTATTAAACCCCCAGTAAATCTCCCCTCCTCCTTTTTACAGCTGGAGTCTTATGTGGCCAAGGCTGGCCTTGAACTCATGATTCTCCTGCTTTCACCTCCAGAGTTCCAGGATTAGACATATACCACCACATCTGTCCAGTAAAGTCCATTATTAATAGAGGAAGCAGAAATGAAACCTGGGGTCAGATTTTTCAGACCCAGAGAGTATCATTTTGACAAGTGGCTTGGATTCTCCAGGCTCAATTGGTAAAGAGGGGTCAGAAACACTTACGTCACAGGATAAGTATGAACTGGGTTGTCGGTATGTAAAAGAACCAAACCAGGAGCTTAGAGTACAGCTCGGAGGTGGAGTACTTGCTTATATGCCCAGGGCCTTGGAGTCTATCCTCCTCACAGGAAAGGAAAGATGGGAGAAAGAAATTGAACCAAAGTTAGATCTTATCTTGTCTGGGAGGAGAGGAGGGAGGGAGGGATGCACGTGGTGCCGCCTCTCCCTCCCCAGGGCTAATAGGCAAGTTGACAGTTCTTGGAGGGGAGACATTTCTTTCAAGGGTGGAGCCACTGCTAAGGTGCCCAGGTGTCTGTAAGTAATCCTACGGAAATGCAGTAGGCCGTACACACTAACTGGGAACAGGAAGGGGGTCCCTAGGAAAGGAAGACAAGAAAGGATAATGAGAGGGAATATGATTAAAATATGTTATATACAGTAATAAAAATACAATAAAATGCATTATGTATAATGTAATAAAAACTGTAGAAAGTTGATATTACAGAAATTTGTGGGCAGGCAGGATTCCTGTGAGCTGCAGTGTAGGTTAGAAGGTCTTTAGAGCGTTACAGAGGAGGAGCTAGAACCATCTAGGCCCCACTGGGGTGGTCTCAGAAAAGACAGACCTTAGAGGGAACTGCTTATGTGTGTGTGTGTGTGTGTGTGCGTGCGTGCGCGTGTGAGGCCAGAAAGGGGCATCAGATCCCTTGGAGCTTGAGTTACAGGATTTTGTGAGCAACCTGGCATAGATGCACTGCACTTCTGATAGAGCGCTAAGCCATTTCTTGACCACGGAGTCATTTCTCCAGCCCTAATAGAATTTTTTTCTTTTTTGGAGACAGGGTGTTTCTATATAACCGTGGCTGGCCTGAAACTCACAGCTCTAGGATTAAAGATATATGCCATCATACCTAGCTTGAGGTTTTGTCTTGGTTTTCAAGACATGGTTTCTTTGTGTTGCCTTGGCTGTCTTGGAGCTCAATTTGTAGACCAGGTTGGCCTCAAACTCACAGAGACTCACCTGCCTCTGCCTCTGGAGTGCTGGGATTAAAAGCGTGCATTACCACCTACCAGCAGAGATCTTTAATTAAAAAAAGAAGAAGAAGAAGAAAAACAAATAGTGAAGCCTGGGCAGCTCAGGGGAGGGCACTTGTTTAGTATGTACAAGGCCAGGTTTCACCTCCAGCTCTGCACGCAGGTGCACACATGGAGATGACTCAGCGGGTAAGCACTTGCTGCCCAAGCACAGGAACCTGAGTTCAACACCTCCACGCCCATGTAGAATCAGCTGGGCACAACCATGCATACTTGTAACCCCAGGGATTCTGGGAGATCTCCAGGCAGCTTCTAGGAGCTCACTGGCCAGCTAGCCTCACCAAAATGTTAGGTTTCAGATTTGGTGAGAGACTCCGCCTCAAGGGAGTAAGGCAGAGAGGGAGAGAGCAAGGTACTGAGAGCTTTCTCTGACCTGCGCCGGCACCTGCACACGCTGCACGCATGGACCTTACACGTGTGTCTATAGACATACACATTCAATTTTTAAAACATGGCACCAGAGTTTGGTGACTTCTTCAGGTGAGTCACATTGAGGACCCCGGCCCTCTCTCTCTCTGTCTGCACATGAAGACTATTGGTAACTAATGTGTGGCTCACAGGCATCTCAGAAAGATTTGCAATCATGAAGGACATGGTGGTGCATGCCTATAATCCTGGCAGTTGGAAGAGACTGAGGCAGGCGGGTCAGGAATTCAAGGCCACCTTTGGCTACTTAGTAAGTTGGAGGCTAGCCTAGACTATATGAGACCTTCTTTCAGAAAAGAGAGTGGGTGTGTGTTAGTTGAGTGAGCTCAGTTAGTTGACAGAGTGTTCGCCTAGCATGCATGAAGTCCTCGGTTCAGTACCTAGCACCACATGAACTAGACACGGTCTGGCTACGTGAGATTCTATCTTAATCCCTAGGACCCTCTGCATAGAAACTCAAGGTCTTGTATGCGTTTGGCAAGGTGTCTACTAGGCTACATCCCTGGGGAACTTTACAAACTATCCCAGGGGTGGGGGCATAGCTCAGGAATATAGCTTCTTATTTACCATGCAAGAGCTCAAAGTTCCATCTCTGCACTAACAACAGCAATAGTAATAAAAATATAATAATAACAAATGAACAACAAAAAACAAAAAGGTTTCTGGGGTGATTGTCATGTGTAGCTGCAGCTGAGAACCTCGAATAAACCAAAGGCAGCCGACAGGAATATCTGCTGAGCCAGGTACAGAGCCTCTTGAAGCACAGAAAATCTGCTACTATTCAACCGTGCTGTTGTTTTTGTTTTGAAGTCAATTTGCTCCTGTTCAATTTAATACTACAGGCCAACGCGGAAGAGGAAGTTGCCTGCTACGCTAAGCTGAGTTCAGCGGTCTTCCCATCTGCTCTGCATTAGTAGAAAAGAGAAGAATGGCTGGAATTTAGATAAAAAATAGTCAGGCGTGACGGTAGAAACCTCTGGAGGAGGAAGCAAGAGGATCTCAAGATGGAGAACAGCCTGGACTACAGACTGAGAAGGAAAAAAAGAAAGAAGGAAGCCAAGAGTGGAAAATCGGACTGGGGCGTTGCTCAGTAGTGAAGTGCTGGCCAAGCACGTGCAAGGCCCTGGGTTCAATCCCTAGCAACACATACATATTTAAGAAGAATCTAGGTGAGGGGCTGGAGAGATGACTCAGCAGTTAAGAGCACTGGCTGCTACCCATATGGCAGCTCACAATCGTCTGTAACTCTAGACTAAGGGGATCTTATGCCTTCTTCTAACGTCCACTGGCACCAGGCTAACAAGTGGTGTACATGGCAACATGCAGGCAAGACACTCATAAAATATTAAAATTAATAAGCACAATAAAAATATGTAACAGGGGCTGGAGAGATGGCTTAGCCATTGGGAGAGCTGGCTTTTCTTACAGAAGACCCAGGTTCAAATCCCAGCACCTACATGGCAGCTCACAACTGTCTGTAACTCCAGTTCCAGGGAATCTGATACCTTCACACCAATGCACATAAAATAAAGTTAAATAAATTATATAAAAAATATGTAACAGCATATTTTTAAAAAAACTTAGGTGATATACTATACAGTTATTCAAAGGATAAAAGGCGTACAGCTAGACACAGTTAAAATGCAGGCCAGCTGGTGTATAGCCTGATCCCCAGTAGCTGCTGGGAATCATCACCTGCCCTTTCCACCTCCCCCTACCATGCCTGGAACCCTCCCTTGACTCTGCTGTCTCTGAACCACTTTCCCAACAGGTCTCAGTTCATCTCTGATGGCGGAAGGCTTGAGCCTTGGGATCTCCAGATCCTACCCAACCCACTTCCCAATAATTTCACCAAGAATTGGCCCTGCCCAAACCCGCAGCCGCATTACCAGGAGAAGGCCCTGAAACTGGCTCGGCTGCCCTGTGTGCCCCTCAGCGAAGACTTGGTGAGGGACTACCAAACCCTGATAAAGAACCGGGTTGCCATGCCCCTCTACTACCTGTCCAAGGCAAGACCTGCCAACACATCAGCCAGAAAGAGGAAAGGAAGCCCTGGATATGTCTAAAAGAGCCTCCCGGTGGGAGAAGACCAGAGTGGGCCTCAGAATACACAGCCTAGCCTGCTTCAGCAAGAAGCCTCAGAAGGCTGAGGACTCCAGCTTCTAAAGAATAACCTGCCATCTTCCAGCCTCATACCACCTCTGTTTCAGGTTTCTGGAGACATCGCTGAAGCTCTGAATCGTTCTCTGTTTTCCTTGGCAGACTCCTATTAGTATGGGAAGATTGGGGAAGAGAGAGGGGGTAGGGCAGCTAGAATTTCTGTAGGCTCCAGCTCTTAAGGTTAGAATAAGGAGTGGTGAGGTGTGGTGTGTGTGTGTGTGTGTGTGTGTGTGTGTGTGTGTGTGCGTGTGCGCACATGCGTGTGCGCATGTGTCTATGCTGGGGTGAGGAAGAGGTATGGGAAGAAATGTGGGTAAGGAATTGCAGGTTGGGAATATAGCTCAATGGCAGAGCACTTGCCTAGCAAGAGTGAAGTCCTAAGTTCAATTCCCATCACACATACAAAAAAAAAGTTGTCTCTACACTCAGAACCAATACACAACGACACGACACTAGGATTGGTTAGCGGACAGAAAACTTCCTAGGCAGCCGGGTGGTGGTGGCACAGGGAGGGCTCCCTGCAGAATTTGGTCACAGGCAGTGCTGGAGACTCAAGCCTGAGAAAGGCAGCTGTTCCTCAGCAGGGCAAGAGCGGAACAAGGAGACTCCAGGTGTAGGAGGCACTGAGGCCCTTGTGCTCACGGAGAAGCACTGAGGGAACCAGGAATGTTAAACACACAGGCTTGGCTCTTCAAGGGGAGAAATGTATAACCCATTTTCCACCCAGAGGGCTGGTTAATAGCCTTGTGACCTTTGTGCTATCTGTGTGGCTGAGACCACCCCAGCTCCTCCCCAGACCCTTACAATGGGCTTGTTTTTCTCAATCCATGGAACCCATCTTTATGGAAGAAGATGTCACTTGTGCTTTACAAAGAGTTTTGATGTAGTCATGTCTTGAGTTTTATTGTTCACAGGGATTTAGTTGCCAGAAAAAATGATGCCAAATTGTGCTGTGCTTAAATATGCCTAAAATAAACTACTCAGGGTCAGGATCCCAAAGTTTGAATCAACACCAGCTACTGCGTTGTGCTGAACCAAACTACCTTCCAAGACATAACAAAACAAAACAAAACAAAACAAAAATGCACAAGAGGCTAAAGAGGTGGCTCAGTAGTTAAGAATGCTGACGATTCTTACAGAGGACTCAGGTTCACTTTCTAAGCACTCAGGATGGTAGCTGACAACTGTTTTCACTGCAGTTCTAGGGGATCTGACACTCTCTTTTGGCCTCCATAAACACCAGGCAGACTATGGTACACAGACATACAAGCAGGCAAAACACTCATACTCATAAAATAAAAATTAAGTAATAAGAAAAAAACCTTGTGCAAAAAGAGAACAGATAAATAAAGGTTTTTGCTCTCATAAGCCTTAGGATCAAGTCGGGGGCGGGGAACAGAAAAGCAATAATAAAGTGTCAGAATTAATGATGGGCAGTGGTGGCGCATGCACTCAAGAGGTAGAGGCAGGTGGCTCTCTGTGAGTTCGAGGCCAGCCTGGTCTACAGAGCAAGTTTAACCAGGGCAACCAGGGCCACACAGAGAAACCCTGTCTTGAAAAACAAAAAAAGAATTATCGTGGGGGCTGGAGAGATGGCTCAAAGGGTAAGAGCATTGCCTGCTCTTCCAAAGGTCCTGAGTTCAATTCCTAGCAACCATATGGTGGCTCACAACCATCTGTAATGGGGTCTGGTGTCCTCTTCTGGCCTGCAGACATACACACAGACAGAATATTGTATACATAATAAATAAATAAATATTTAAAAAAAAAAAGAATTATCCTGTAGTGCCCAGTATTAGGAAGATGGAGTCAGGAGAGTTATCATGAATTACAGCCCAGTCTGGGTTATGGAGCAAAACCCAGTCTCAAAACACCACCACCACCAAAACCATAAAAATATAACATGACAGCTAATACACAGATACCTGATCCAGGTGGACTTGAGAGCAAGGACGAGTGACAAGTCAGAGTGATCATGCGGACTTTTGGTACCTCAACTTGTGTCACCCTCAACATTTGGTGGTCAGATATTCCTCTGAGAAACCTACAGAATCAATCCATTCAATTCCTGTGATGCACCCCCATTTTAGAGATTGGTAAACTGAGACAGAGTTTCTTTTTGCTGTTGTACCTCACATCTAAACCTTGTCTCAATTCTACAAATCATGTATTTCAGATTAGTACCTTCCTCTGAATTGCCCAGTAAAATGACATGAAATTATTGTTATTTTTATTCCTGGTGTCAAGGACTGACCCGCAGTTTGTACTACTGTTTAAGATAGGGTCTCTTTATGTAGACCTGGATGGACTGGAACTTGCTGTGTAGACCAGGCTGGCCTTGAGCTCACAAAGACCCTCCTGCTCACAAAGACCCTCCTGCCTCTACTGTCTGAGTTCTGGGAGTTAAGTTGTATACCAATATGCCTGGCACAATAATTTTTTTTTTTTAAAGATAAGTCCTTGGGCTGGAGAGATGGCTCAGTGGTTAAGAGCATTGCGTGCTCTTCCAAAGGTCCTGAGTTCAATTCCCAGCAACCACATGGTGGCTCACAACCATCTGTAATGAGGTCTGGTGCCCTCTTCTGGCATGCAGACATACATAGACAGAATATTGTATACATAATAAATAAATAAATATTAAAAAAAAAGATAAGTCCTTGCTAGCTGGGCGGTGGTGGCGCATCCCTTTAATCCCAGCACTGGGGAGGCAGAGGCAGGTGGAGCTCTGTGAGTTCGAGACCAGCCTGGTCTACAAGAGCTAGTTCCAGGACAGGCTCCAAAGCTACAGAGAAACCCTGTCTCAAAAAACGAAACAAAACAAAAAGATAAGGCCTTGCTATGCAGCACAGGATGGCCTTAAACTTTCTATGTGGTCTTGAACTACTTGATGCTACTGCCCCTCCTTCAAGATCCTGGATTATAGGCACTTCCCTTGGCTTCAGAGTTCCTTTTGGTTTTTTTGTTTGTTGTTTTGTTTTTTCCTTTGAGACATGCCATCCCTATGTAGCTCAGGCTGGCCTCCAATCTATGATTCTTCTTCAGGCTCCTCACTACTGGGATTAAAAGCATAGCTGCCATCCTGGTTAAGAGTTGAAACTTTTTGCTTGTTTTAATCATATTTTTTTATTTGGGTTACGTGTGTGTGTGTGTGTGTGTGTGTGAGTGTGTGTGTGTGAGTGTGTGTGTGTGAGTGTGTGTGAGTGTGTGTGTGTGTGTGAGTGTGTGTGTGTGTGTGTGTGAGTGTGTGTGTGTATGTGTGTGTGTGTGTGTGTGTGTGTTCTGGGCACTGAACTCAGGGGCTCATGCACGTCTACCTGCTGTAAAAATCTTAACCGAGGCATCTGACTTTGACATCCCTTGCTCAGCTTGTTTGCACCCTGAGACAAGCCACCACCATCCTTTTTGTACCTTGGCTTTGGCATTCACAAGTAGAGGATCAGGCCAGAGTCACTAATTCCAACTGTGAATTTGGCCTGGCTGGAAGACCTCTCTTCTAATGTGGTGTCGGGGTCTGGTGCTAGACCGGACCATAAATTATTTCTCTTCCAGACCCCAACATAAACTCTCTCCGTCTGGACCGGCGTGGAGGAGACAGGATTAAAGACACAACTCGCATGGTTTCATCGGGAGGGAGATTCTTTCGCAGAGATCCCTCGTAAAATCCTGAGTTCACATCCTGAAGAAATTCCTCCATTTATTCTCCAATCTTAATACCATAACTTAGGGGAAATACATTAGCATTCTGTCTCCTAGGTAACCAGGTGACTGGCTTCCAGTCACATCCACAACTACCTGTCTGCTGTGTGTCTTAGCTGTCTGTAGGTTTGAATCAACATCTCTATAAGGCATCCTCTGAATTACAAAGGAAGGAGCAAAACATCCTGACCTTTTGTTAGGTTAGAGACAGCCTGCCTGGCAGGGATACCTGACCACCTCAGGTGGAGACTATGGCTTTAGAGGCTGGCTGCCACATCATATAAAAATATGGGCCTACAGTGTGGAAGCAGGGCAGTTTCTTCCCAAGATTTCAAAATTGGCACTGGCTTCCTGGGAACTTTGCTGGGCAGAAGAATTTTTGCAAACCACATCATTCATGCCTTCAGCAGATCTGACAGGCCCACAGGAGAAAGCCTGAAATAGAATTGGCTGCCCTTAACCTTCCAGTGGCTCAAGGGAGCAGTCTGTCCAGCTCTGAATAACCCATTCTACCTAGAATATTCTGGGAATTTCCTTACGTGGCAGAGTACATAGGGTGGGTAGGTGGGGTGGTGGTTCACTGAGCCCTCAGGCTCAATTCATCACCCGAGCAGAGGCAAGATTTGCACTATTCAGCTTTAAGGAATGAATACAGAAAGGGTGTGAAGATACTTAAAGGCACAAAGGGCCTTAAATCTCTTCTGTGGCTGGGTGGTGGTGGCGCACGCCTTTAATTCCTGCACTTGAGAGGCAGAGGCAGGGGAATCTGTGAATTTGAGGCCAGCCTGGTCTAAAGAATGAATTCTAGGACAACCAGAGCTACACAGAAACCTAATGACTCGAACCCCCAACCCCACCAAAAAACAAAACAAAACAAAAAAATTCCTCCGTGGTTTGAACAATAGGGCAGGGACTTAGAATACAGCGGCAGTGAGTTAGAGGCGTACGTTAGAGTCAGAGTTAGTTCAAGGTCATCCAGGGATACATAGTGAGTTTGAGGTCACCCTGGGTTCATGAGATACTGTCTTATTATATAAACACACACACACACACACACACACCACACACACACCCATGCATACATATACATCACACACACACACGTGTACATCTATCTACACACACACCCATGCACATATACACACACACCACACACACAGCACACCCATGTACACATACACACATACCACACATATATATGCACATACGT